ATCCTAGATTTACATCGAGATTTTGGGAGAGTTTACAAAAGGCTTTGGGTTCTAAGCTAAGATTGAGTTCGACTTATCATCCGCAAACGGATGGTCAAATCGAGAGGACAATTCAATCGTTGGAGGATTTATTGCATGCTTGTGTACTCGAGCAAGGTGGTGCTTATGATAGTTATTTGGCGTTAATTGAGTTCACCTACAATAATAGTTTTCATTCAAGTATAAGTATGGCACCATTTGAGGCTTTGTATGGTCGAAGATGTCGAACACCTTTGTGTTGGCATGAAACCAGTGAGAGGTCGATAGTTGGACCGGAGATGGTACAAAAAACGACAGAGAAAGTGAAGTTTATTCGGGAAAAGATGAAAGCTTCTCAAAGTAGACAAAAGAGCTATCATGACAAAAGAAGGAAAGATCTTGAGTTTCAAGAAGGCGACCATGTGTTTTTGAGAGTTACACCGGTTACGAGTGTGGGTCGTACTTTGAAGTCGAAGAAGTTGACTTCTTGTTTTATTGGTCCGTATCAGATTACTGCACGAGTTGGTTATGTGGCTTACCGTGTGGCGTTGCCTCCGAATCTTTCGAATTTGCATGATGTATTCCATATTTCGCAACTAAGGAAGTATGTTCCGAATCCATCACATGTTATTCCTATGGACGAGGTTGAAGTGAGAGATAACCTTACGGTTGAAGCTTTACCGATTAGGATTTTGGACCGTGAAGTTAAGAAACTAAGAGGCAAAGATATTGCGCTTGTGAAAGTAGTGTGGGGAGGCGCTTCGGAAGACAATATGACTTGGGAACTAGAGAGTGGGATGCGAGAGTCGTATCTGGAGCTGTTTGAATCAGGTAATATTTTCGAGGACGAAAATTTCTAAAGTGGGAGAGAGTTGTAACGCCCCGATTCTGATTTTCCATTTTTGTTGAGTCTTTTATTTTATTTGGGTGATTATTATTTTATTTGTGGAATTGGTGTGTCAATATGTTATGTTTGCATATTGTGTTATTTTATCGTTTTTGAGAGTTTTCGGGGAAATTAGGTTGGAGTGTATTTTAGATATTTCTTAATTAATGTCAAGTTAGATAATTTTTTGTGAGAAGATGATTTATTAGATATTTTGAGAGAAAAAATAATAGAAAGGAATTAGAATAGAAAGATATAAGAGGGAAAGAGGAGAGAAAAGAGAAAGAAAGAAGAAAAATGAGAGAAAGAAAGAGGAAGAAGAGAAAAGAGAAGAAAAAGAGGAAAATTATAGAAATCTTCAAAACAACTTCTAGGAATCAATTTAATCGGGTAAAGGTGTGAAATCTTATTATCTCATCAATGTATATCATTAACCAAAACTCGCTGGAGCGAGTGGAGTAGCGAAGGACTCGCTATTCTGCTCGCCTAACGAGCATGACAGCACAACATTTTTCTATTTTCCATCCAATATCGATTCTTCGACTCGGATGTTGTTCAACCTTCTCCCGAAACGTGTAGCTTGTGTGTTGTTATATGATATGTTGTGGGTAACCGTATGGCGTGAATCCTAGATTGTGGAATTTATTGTGAATTGTGGCCTTTTGGCAAATAAATGCATTGTTTAAATTAAATGTGAATGCATGATAATTGTGATAGAGTTTGTTGCCATTTAGGTGGTAAAGCGATGCTCGTTGCCGTTTGGCGTAATTGATGTGAATGTGTGTCGATTGTATGTGATGGTATGAGATGAATGCATGAATATATTGTGAATATGTATGCATTTCAAGAATGTCTTGATTCATTTTGTATGTGAAGCATAATGATGTACACTCTTGTGTTGTGTGATTCTAATGAGAATTCATTGTAACACTGTGTGCCTATGTGAGGTGTGAGTGATGATTACAAATGATTGTGTGCCTATGTGAGGTGTGAGCAATCGGATTGTGTGCCTATGTGAGGTGTAAGCAATCCATAAATATTGTGTACCTATGTGAGGTGTGAGCAATGGGTGAACATCGTAGGCCCGATGGGGAGTTACATTGGTAACGAGCGATGGTTCCAATAAGTCCCTGAGTGAACTTGAGATGATTGATTCAGTACCGCATTGCATTTTCATAGAGTCGTGAGTCGGTCTCTATGATTTGCATGTATCATCTTTATAATGGTGCATTGGTGAATAAGTATAAATGTGTATGTTTATGTGGAATGATAGAATTGTGGAAGTATGCATGATGAATATGCTTGGATATATATATATATATATATATATATATATATATATATATATATATATATATATATATATATATATATATATATATATATATATATATATATATATATATATATATATATATATATATATATATATATATATATATATATATATATATATATATATATATATATATATATATATATATATATATATATATATATATATATATATATATATATATATATATATATATATATATATATATATATATATATATATATATATATATATATATATACATTGTGATGTATATGAGTGAGTTGTGATAAATTGTGGTGAGAATGTAGAATATGTGTAATTTATGCTAAGATATATAATTATATGTATTGTTGTTATGATAATATTTCTCACCCTTCTGCTGTTTTATGGTGCTCTATGAGGCATTGCAGAGTAGGTATGCTGGAGGTCTTTTTGTGAAGCGTGTCTTCATTCTTTTGGTCGATCGGCTCTGATATGTAGCACCGGGTAGCTAGGTTGTTCATGATTCTTTTGTGATACATTTGTATATATATCTTGTTGATGATTGTTTTTGTAAACATGTCTTATGCTGTTGAATCATACTGGATGATATATATATATATATATATATATATATATATATATATATATATATATATATATATATATATATATATATATATATATATATATATATATATATATATATATATATATATATATATATATATATATATATATATATATATATATATATATATATATATATATATATATATATATATATATATATATATGTTTGATGTTATTCAATGTTTAGATTTTCCATTTTTATTCTAAATATTGAGATGTGGGTGTAAGGACTAAGTTCCTCTGTTGCATAGTTACCTCACTGTTGCATAACTTTTGTTGAGCAGGTGTTGTATGTTTTAATTTCATGCGTAATGTGACGCGCCTCTTTTATACTATGTTTATAATTATACTCTGATGAAATTTTTAATATGTGACTAATTGATTATGTGATTATTTGGGGTATAGAAAGGGGGTGTTACAATACCCCTCGCAAATAAGGGGGGGAATTTTTTGAAACTTGAAATATACTTTTACTAGGGTTCAGCGCAGAATCTGGTGGAAAGGTTGAACATTTGCGAGGGGGGGATCCCCTCACCACGTCACGGTTCACAATTTGCGAGGGGCCTCCCCTCACCATTTGTCCTACTTTAGTCAAGTCCCTCTGAAAAGACATTTATTCCTCTGCCATATTGTCTGCCACACGCCAACACTGGCTAAGGGCATCCCCTCGCAAATGGCCTATTGATTGCCTGCGTGGGGGATCCCCTCGCAAATGACGCCACGTCATTGTGACCATTGGGATATGCGTGGAGATGCCCCTCGCAAAAGACACTATTAAATGTCTAAATTATTTCCAATTGTATCAGCCACATTCATCAAGCCAAAACGTTTCAGTTTCTTCTCTTTCTTCTCCATTTCATCTTCTATGTTTTTCTTCCCTATTCTTCTTCTTCTCCTTTCATGTTCCACCATTTTTGTCACACTTCATAAAAGTAAGTTATTTTATTTATTTATAATTTATTTTATTGTTTAGATTTATTAATTAATTTTTTTATTTATTTGTTATGTTGCATGTACTGTGGATAATATATAAAGCTATCAAATTTTTATCAAGAGGAGCTACGAATTTGGGAGAGCATCAAAAGGTATACACTTCTGTTTTTTCTTAAGATTTTAGATACATTTTTATTTCGAAATTTATGTTGATGTTGGTGGCTGTTGATGTATAAGAAATTTATGTATATTTTATTAAAAAATATAACACAAATTTTACATTATAAGAAAATTTATGTATATTTTGTTAAAAAATATAAGACATAAATTTATGTATATTTTGTAAAAAAAATATAAGAAAAATGATAATAGTATATTTTTATTCTGTTTTACATTATAAAGAAAATATATTTTGTTATAAAACAGATTTTAATATTTATATTATAAAACAGATTTTAATATATTATTATTAAAATATTAGTATTATATATTATTTAATTAAAATAGTATATATATTTAATTATAAAACAGATTTTAATTTTTATATTATAAAACAGATTTTAATTAAAATATTAATATTATATTTATATTATAAAACAGATTTATTAAAATATTAGTATTATATATTATTTAATTAAAATGGTATATATACTTAAGTTTATTAAAACAGTATACTTAAGTTTATTAGAAAACAGATTTTACTCAAGTTTATTAAAATAGTATATTAAAATATACTTAAGTTTATTAGAAAACAGATTTTATTATAAAACAGTATAGTTGATTAAATTTTTAAAAACAGAATATTTATTTAATTATATTTGAAAACATATTATATATTATTTTTAAAAACAAAATATTTATTTATTTAAATTTGAAAATATATTATATATTATTTTTATAAAAAGAATAGATTATATATATATTAGTATACACTTTTATTTAAAAAGTATGAGTTAAATCATAAAAATATATAATTTGTAATATATTTAAGTAACATATACAAACTTTTTATATAAAGTATATAATTTATAATATATACATTTTCTATTTAGAAAGTATTAATTTTTATTTAATAAGTATTTATTTTTTAAAATATTAATATAATTTAGTAATATATTTATAAGAAACATAATATTATTGTAAAAAGTATGTAAATTTGTGAAAATATGTTATAATTTTATTTTAAAGTTGTAAAATATTTTATACTTTAAAGTTGTAAAATAATTTGATTCTATGGAGCATCTCCCTGTGCATCTTGCTTACGAAGCTTACCTTAGTGGACCTGTTCAATATAGATGGATGTATCCATTTGAACAATTCATGGGTGATTCAAAGCGATCTGTTAAAAATAAGACGAGAGTTGAGGGATCAATATGTGCACATTATTTACATCGAGAAACTTCACATTTTTGCTCTCATTATTTCAATCATATGATGTTGACTCCGAGAATCATAAGGAATGAAGTTCACTTTAGTGAAAGAAGTCAATTCACCCTATCGGTTTTTGGCCGTCTCGGTTGTCCTTCTGGAAAGACAAGTGTGCATTGGTTGTCTGAAAAAGAAATGCAATATGCTAATGTTCATGTGTTGATTAACTGCGTTGAAGTTAAACCATATCTTGAGTAAGTATATTAAATTAAGTTTTTATTAAATTAAGTGTGGATCGAAAGTACAAAGAGTATGACCCTTTCATAATGGCACATAATGTTAGGCAAGTTTACTATGTTCCTTATCCTTCAATTCAACCAAGTAAACGAGGATGGTGTGTTGTAATCAAGTCCAATCCAATGAGTTATATTAAATCTGACGGTGTAATGGAAGATGATGTTGCATACCAAGATGATGAGATTTCACCAGTGAATGGGGTAATTGAAATTGAGGAGATTACAAGTTTGGGTGATACTGTGATTGTGGGTCAACAAGTTGATGCAACCATCTTATTATCAGCAAATCATGTGGAAGAAAAATCAGGAGACTCTGAAGACAACAATATCGTATCTGATGAAGACAGTGACGATTACAGTGGTGAATAAATTATATGAATATGTATTATGTAATTATACTATTGTGTAATAATACTACTATGTAATATGTATTGTTATATATAACACTTTTGTGTAATTGCTTGAATTAATTTACTTTTGTTATTTTATGAAATATTTTAGTTTAAAAATGCCACCCCGAAGTGAGGAAAAGGGTAAGGGTAAGGCTCGCCGCACAAGGTTCGTTGTAGAAGAGGTTCCAGATTCGTCTATGTTTATTCCTATGCCACTTTCGAGTCAGATGCATCCTACTCTGTTGCCTGTGCACCCTACTCCATCGCCTATACAGTCTTCACCCATGTCTTGCAGACCTTTTACCGGATTACTATTCACACCTGATTTTACTTCATTCCCACCGATATCTGCGTGGGCCTTTATTAGTCCTCCTGGATATGCACCTATTATGCATCCCAGCACCCCGCATCCCTCATATTTTTCGATGCCTTCATGAATTCAAGCGGGTCTAGCGTTCCGATGCCTTCCATACAGTATTCTATGCCATATACGGAGGCTAGTGGATCTGGCATGCCACATTCATCACTTGTGCATTCTACGCATGATGAGCAGGATGATGAGGGTGATACTAGTGCTCATGGTCATGGAGGTACCAGTTCTTATGATCATGGAGATACTAGTGCTCCTGATAGTTCTCATAAGGAGCGATGGAGGACACGCATTTTGAGAAATGCAAAGCCGCAAACAATTAGAAAATACAAGGGCAAATATGTCATTCGTTGCGATGGAGGAAGGTATGTTATATATATATATATTATTTTTTTAAAATTTAAATTTGAGTTTTTTTTAATGTCAATACTAACTCAAGATTTTTTTTGTTAGCCTTATACCATCACACCAGGAAGTATCGTGTATAACAGAAGATATTAAAAAAAAGTATAAAAAGTTTTGACCGACATATGGAGCACTTCTCGAAAAAGAAAAGGGAGATTGGTTTAGTTTATTTCAGGTATAAAAGTAACATTTTAATTTCTTACATATTTAGTTTACTTCATGATTTAACATTATTTAATTTTTTAAAATTCATAAAACAATGTAGGAGAAATGTGTTTGGGACTTTACAGAGCAACAACAAGTAAGAGAAAATTTTGATACAAAATGTGTTGCCCGATTATCCGACACGCTTAGACGTGTTCGAATTAATTGGGAAAATAAAAGAATGCGTCCCTGTTGGATAGGTGAAGATGTATTTAAGCAACTTATTGACCATTGGAATTCGGAAGCCTTTAAGCAAGTATCTGAAAAAGCAAAAAAAAATAGGGCATCTGAAGTTGGTGGCTGCAACTACGCAGCAGGAAGTACTAGTGTTGCTGAAATTGCACATAGGCTGGTAAGTTGATTTATTTTACTTAAGTTTTCATTTAAAATTTGGATTAAAACAAACTATTTTTTCACTTATGTTTTATTTTATTAGCGTGATGAGTTGGGTAGAACTCCGATGCTTAATGAGATCCATCTAGAGACTCATATCAAGAAAAATGGGGAGTTTGTCGATAAACACTCAAAGGAAACTTAAGTAAGTTTTGCTAAAATTTAGTCATTTTATTTCTTTCTTTTATAACATGTTATTTAGTCATCTTATTTAAGTTATTATAACATCTAACTTTTTTTTATAGGAGGAGTATGATCGAAGACTTGCACTTTCTTTATCTGAGCATCCTGAGTTACCTCCACCACCACAGGGATACCCTGTTGATCCTTGTCTAGGTTTTCAGACTTGGTATGATGCTGCTCGCGGGAAGGGGGAAAATGGAATGGTGTATGGTGCTGGAGGGTATGCCAAAACAATTAAGCAGCGTGATAGGACTTTCAAGATGAGACTTGATGATGGAGAAGGATCATCGCGTCCATCTATATTAACCACTGATATGCTTGAAACTGTGAGAAATTTGGCTCAGACCGAGACAACACGTGAGGCGGCAGCTAGACAAGCAGAGATGGAGGAAATGAGGAGAAGACAAGCTGAGATGGAGGAAGAATTGAGGAGGAAAACAACGGAGTATGAGAAAATAATGTAGATTGCAAATGAGCGCGCATTGAAATTTGAACAATTTATGGCATTGCATATGAATCAAGGTGTGAGAGGAAGAGATGAGGAAGATGAGGAGGATGATGAAGAAGTTGACTAAATGTGTCATGAATTATATATATTTTTATATTTTATTTTATTTTTGTCATGAATTATTCTTATTTTGATGATGGATTTGAATATTTACTTTTATTACACTTTTAATTATAAATTATTATATTTTACAAAATATATTTTTTTATTTATTATATAATTATATTTAAATATATATTTTTTATTATATAATTATATTATTCTAATTATAATAATATAATTAAATAATATAATTATAAAATGTAATAAAAATTTATTATATTATTATATTATTATTCTAATATAATTATAACAATATAATTAAAATAATATAATTATAAATTATAAAAAAAAATATTATAACTATTGGTTAGGGGTTAACCCCTCGCAAATTCCAAAACGTGGGACAGCTGGCTAGGGGCTTAACCCCTCGCAAATGTATGACACAGACGGCTAGGGGTTTCACCCCTCACTAAATTCAATAACCACGTAACTTAGATAGGGGTTTATCCCCTCGCAAACGCATCTGAAACATCTGAGCCCCTCTGTAGCTCTAGTCTGTGTCGATATTTGTGGTGTTGCAGGCTGATTTTTTTCCATAACAATTTGCGAGGGGCTTATCCCCTAGCCATTTTTGTGAGGGGCTTATCCCCTCACCAATAATTTGCGATGCCCTGATTAGCTAGGGGCCCTGTCCCCTCGCAAATTATTGTTTTGTGATGGATTTTTTGATTTAGTGAGCGGTTTAACCCCTAGATAAATCCGGTTTTTCTTGTAGTGATCGCTTTCGAAGCCCTAACCGAAGTTATTGTAGATTTTTTTGGTTTTGTATAGATTTTTATAGATTTGCCTCTAACATTTTAAATTTTAGGTGTTCTGTTCTATCGTCTTATGTTGCTTCTTGGTCAGATCTGCACTGATTTGTTGTTGTTGCTTCTGAACAGGAAACAATTTCATCTATTCTGAAATACAGCTTGCAACAAATGAGTTTTCAAAGGATAACTTAATAGGGGAATTGGAAGGGAAATGATAGTTAAATGGATTCGAGAACTGTTTATTATAGTGAACGCTTTGAAGTTAAGAGTTTGTTTTAAAGCATCTTTTTTGCACCATATCTAAATTTCATGTGTATTATCTATTAAAATCAATTTTTTTACGCTTATTTTTAACTTTGACTTCAAAGTTTAATGGAGATGATTTCAAATCTGCAAAAGTTGATCCCATATCTCAAATTTTCAAGCCAGTAGCAGTAGTGATTTCTAATTGGTCATCATGTATTACATGTCTTCAATGTACTTCTTAAACCACCATTTTGTCGCTTTTATTGTAATATTGTTATTTGACAGTCGCATGTGAACAAAGATTATGGTGAAGAAACTAAAATGATTGTGCAACACTGGACCTCTGTTTTAGTATGTCATCTTGCCTATTGTACAGTTAATTATGAGTGATTTTTAGATCATGGTGAAGATACTAAAATAATTGTATTTTGATTTAAATCTGAAAAATTGATATGCAGACTGTTTTATTTTTAGGTCTACAATACTCTGTTCACTTTTATTTTTGTTTTTCCCCATTTAAGCTTTAGTTAATTTGGAGTGATTGAAGATCGATTTTCTTAGTTGGAATTAACACTGGATTTGTTTGTGTTGGATCAACTTTACATTTTTACTACAGTTAAATTGCCAAGCCTAACCTTACAGACTTACCATGGTCTTAGGTTTTTGAGATTTCGGTACCGAAGCTGCGACGCTGAAGTCATCATAATGTTAAATTAATCGCAATGAATAACGGGATCGGTATTGACACCACTTATTTAAACATTGAAACTTACCTTGGGATTTTAACCTCAATTTATGAGTTTGGCTTTTGGGATATTTCTGACATGCATTCCCTTTTTGTCACCTAGTATGTTCGTACTATGCATGACGGTTTGCCATTTTTTTTTATAATACTGAATATTTTGTTGTGGCACAGCTGCTAATGTTGTTCTATGGAGAAATAAGAAGATATCGACAACAACATGGTGTTGCAACAACTTTTTGGGTTCTATTTGAATTACTTTAATACTATCTCCTGACTTTGGTTTCCCACTTAGCTATACTCGCTCTGGCGGTGTTGTTCTTATGGTCAAACGTGTCCACATTCATCAACAAGTAAGTTACTTTTATTGTGATTCAATTTTGGGTTTTGATGTATTTTATTTTTTGTTAGTTGATTGAGTTTTCGTGTTTTGATTTTGATTAGGACTCCATCAAAGATCCCACATGTGCATATTCCTGAGGAACCTATTTTATAGATTGCCTCTTCTATTTGAATTAAGATCAACTGAGCTTTTACTCTTGTTGTGAATCGGATACCTTTAAACAAAGTATAAACGGTTTCTTAGCAAGAAACACACAAGGGTTAGGGTTAACAAAGAAAACAAGGTAAAACAACAAGGAACAACAAGGATTGGTTATTAAACT